CCTTGAAGGTAGGAAATTACGGTTCAAAATTAATAATGTCTTGTCGACAGTACAGCCAACCAGAGCCGGTACCCTCAGGGTTCGGTTCTCGTACCAATCCTGTATTCACTTCTCACTCTTGCCCCAGCGACTTGGAGTCTATCTATATGCCGATGAATCTGCACTGGTAGCCCAGTCGAGTTCCGAGATTCTGCTTCACGACAAGGTACAAAGTGCGGTCGATTAGGTATTAGAATGGGCAGATCGGTGGATGATCAAAATTAATTATTCAAAAACGCAGGCTATCTATTGTGCTAAAAACGTAGCGGCGCCACGTCTGAAGTCTCAGTGAACGGAGTTCGTGTGCTATGGGAAAATTCTGACAAGTGTCTTGCTGTCACTCTTGACAAGGGGAGATGGTAGAAACACACTGAAGTATTAAAAACCAAATTCCAAATTACGTTTCGGTAACTTTACCCTGTGCTGTGGAGAATCTCCATCCTGAGGGACGGACACGGCAGCTAAGTTGCTGTCATACATTGAGTGCCAAGGGCGGATTAATTGGGATCTAATACTTTTTGGTCTCATCCCACCAAGATTTTATGCACTCTTGCTACTCTACCAGTTTGTGTAGCGGAAGTACAGTTGTCCTTCTCTATTCTCAGGAGGCTCAAATTAAGGTTAAGGGCGTCTATGGTACAAGGTCACCCAATTGAAAGTCCTCAAAAATATATTTGTCGATTTAGGAGTCAGAAGTTCTGCAAGGAAAAAGAATAGCGTCATCTTCGGTTAACTCTTGCAATATTTTCATTTTGAAGGGATGAAATTTATGGAGTTTAGTAACTATGTATAGAGCCTAATGAAATAGCAGTCGTAGCAACAATTTTGCGTATTAGGATTTATTCAAAACTTCAACTTGAGCGGCTTCATCCAAAACTCTCCGATGATCACGTTTTTTAATTGCAACAGATCCAGTTTGAGTGAATTTAGTAACATACATATGCAAAGTTATCTTCCCCGGATGTTTGGCGTTAAACGTGGCGGCAATTTGCTGACCATTTTAAAAAATGAAACGTCAAAATAAAGGACCTTGAAAGACCTGTCAAACAAGCTATTACTCGATACTCCTCATTCAAACTTTTTAAGGGAATGACCCTGGGGCCCGCGGGTGAAGTAGTTTTTTCTTTTAATCAGTGGTTCTCGATAAATCCGTGGTGGGAAGTTATCAAACTAACACCCCTAATAACCAGAATACCCCTTACCCCTAATTTTTTACCCTCAATAAATCATCCAAAAACGAAATCCAAGCATTCCTATTTTACGTTTTTTGCCCGTAACTCCGCCGTCGTCACCAGATCATTTTCAAAACCCTCAAAGATTTTTCATCATTGATATAGCGGTAACTTTGAGTCAAAGTTCCATCAAAATACGAGCGGTACTTTCAAAATGATAGAAAGGTCAAGGATCAGTGGACAGTCAACGACAAAACAGTTTTTTGTAATTATCCAATATACCCAATTCATCTTTGACATTTTTCGACATTCCAATACTTTGGGGCCGTTCAAGTATTACGTAAGCAGATTTATTACAATTAATTACCCCCCCCCCATCCCCCTTGTCAGCAAAAGTAAGCAAAGCTCTTACCCCCTCCCCCCATGCTTAAGTAAACATTGGTCAATTAATGTATTGTTTTTTTTTTAATATTATAATTACGACGTTATAATTATAATTTGAAAAATAAGAAAATAGATTTAGGATAGAGATTATATTTAACTGATACGGTATTCAACGTAAAGGACATATCTTACTAACATAACAAACTTATTTTAAATTGTTCATACATATATTAAATTCAAATTAAGTCTTCAGTCCATGAAACTCGAATCCATGATTCTAAGTTTTCCATGACATTGGATTGCTTCGTTTGCTGCTCAGTGATGTGAGTTTGATCGCTTTCATCGGATTTTGGAACGTCTACGTCGAGCCATTCAACATCATGGTGTTCTAAATTTTGAATAATGCACATCAGTTCATTAGCACGACGAGCAGCGACTCTTACAGGTCTAACTTTCCTATCAGTGTGCGTATTTACCTTTTTATGAATATTTTCGATGTGACGATTTAGTGACTTGACGGAAGCATGACAATGACCACACGTTTTGCATGTTCGACTTGATAGCCTCAATTTTACCGTCGGACAAAAATAATCGTAGGGCATTTGTAGGAAATCTTTGAGTGAAGCACTTAAGCGTAGAGCTAAATTGACTGGAAGATTAAGAAATTGCCCTCCTTCATCCAAAACCAAGTCATCAACTGTTTGTTTTACTTTTACAGGTAGTGGAAGAAACCTATTGTCTAGTAATCTAAATAGGCCACTTCTTGGATGACAGCATTCTGTATTTCTACATTTTACAATCTGAAGCAAGTATTGGCTCTCACGCACATGTTCTGAATACCATTTAATGTCTGGAAAATCAAGAAGATTATAGCCATCAATTTCCATTGAACTCCATACTTCAGCTAATACATTTCCTGCAAATTCGAAATTAGATTTTTCTAAATGTTCATCAATTGTAACGCCACGTTCATCCAAATGAGACCCAAAATGGCCATGAGGCAATATTAAACCAGCCCGACTAAGAGGAGCCATTCTGGGCTCTACTCTGTTATACGCACTTCTTCCAGGAGCATTGGTAGCTGAAAACAATGCATCGAGATCATGTCGCTTAAAGCGTTGTATAGCAAACCCTATGACTTTTTGATAACGTGGATTTTCATCTGGCCCTCCATCAACCGTCATTATTACCACTGGTTTTACTAGTCCATGGTCAGTTTTAGCTAATGGTCGAAACTCTTCAAGTTCGAGAAGCGTCTTGAAATCCTGAGCATGAGTGTTAGCAGTAGATGAACTATGCATTCCACTTCGAATAGCGATGTATGTTAGTCCAGAATATACAACGGCTTGCGGTTGTCCTAGCATATTGGAAGTGATTTTAATACCAGCATAAACAGATGGTATTAATTTATGACGCTCAGCGATTACCCAATCGTGATCAGGCAATTTGATTCTATATTCCATGTGCATTAGAAGAGGTGCTTGCTTATTTGACACAGTTACGCCAATAGGGACTCGAGCTTTATCATCTTGAGATATGAAAAATACTTGATCTGGTCCAAGTATGGATGCTATGTTCTCCTCTAAATAATGGATTGATGTTTCAGCGAACTTGCTATCTAAGTGGCTCTTGTGGTGATCAGTTTGAACCCGAATGAGCTTAACAGGGACTGTCGATACATGTCTTCGTCCCTCTGCAGAATTAGATTTTCTGGGAATCAAACGAAGATATCTCCCACTGCGACTAATGTGAAATCCTATTTTACGTAATTCTTGTGTGAGTTCATCAAGTTTTTACGCTGCGAATTGATTCCGTTCGTCTTCTATAATCTGCTGCACTCCCAAATAAAGCTATAACCGCGATTGTTTTCAATAGTGAACGTTGATTGCTTTCAAGATTAGGACGTCCACTGAATCCCTCAGAGATAGTCTTTTTTTTATTTCTGGATTTTCATGACAAATATCTTCTTTCTTTTCATACCATCCCTGTGTTTCTTCTGGACAACTGCGTTTTGAACCTTCCTGTTTAAAGACTGTTTTGCTGTTTTTATTTCTTCGCGCAACTTAATGATCTGTTTATCAGCTTCAGCACGGCTTGGCATAGTATCTCTGGCAGAATACAAAGCGTTCAGATTTTTTTCGAGTAGAGCAATCTTATTTTTCATAGCTTCCTGAGAAGGTTTTGCTCTCTGTTTATCTGTATTTTCATTAATTTCGCATTGCTGTGGTGATTCATTACCGGGTTTTATTTTATCTTCTTCCTCTTTTTTAATATTTCAAGCTGACTGACTGTATCATTTGTTTTTTCTGCAGGTTTACAGGTTCCCTAAAAATAAAAACTTTCTTTGGCTTCTGCTAAAGATTCTCTTATTAAGCTACATAAATACAAAGTATGGCAATATATATGGTAAATACAAAACCCTATGGCTTTAAATCTAATATGTATAAATCTATAATATAATGAATATTACCTCTATACTTTGAGAGCCATAATATTTTCTAATCAGTAAAGAGAAACTTTTTGGCGATTTCTGATATTTCTAGTACTCATAGGTACCTGAAATGATTTCGTCACTCACCTTAGAAAAAAAATTTAGTAGACTGGATTTATTCTTAGTCGCCGCTTGCAATTCTTCTTCGATTCTCATAGATACAATAATATCTAGTTTCTTGTCGGATTTTGCTTGTAATTTGTAATTTCGCCACACTTCGTTAACTAACTTTTGTACTTTCGTACTTTTATGAGATGTTTTAAAACTTTCCAACAATTTATGGTATAACTTGGATTTGTCTATGTGAAACGACATCTTATTTAAGCATTAAACTTTGGCTAATGGAATCAATGGTAACACAAATGTTAACTTGCTTTACTATGCTTACAATACGTCTACTCGCTATAGTATCCAAAGAAAAAATACACTGATAGAGGAAATTTACACAAGTGAACACCGCGCGGTAATTCCCTTACTCGGTTCTAAAGCGAGTAAGGGAATTACCGCGCGCTGTTCACTAAACATATGATTATTTGCGGGAATCCCCGAAAAGGCGTTTGGTTTTCAAGCAAAAACAATGTGAGGGTTGCCATTCGTGAAAAAAAGTAAATAACTACCGATGGCGTAATCATTATCTAGACTCCCCTACCCCCCATGTCATCCAAAATAAGCAAAGCAAAGACACCCCCCGCCCCCCCATAGTGCTCACGTAATACTTAAACGCCCCCTTTCTCCCTAATTATCGTGGGAAGTAAAAATAATACCAGATTTTATTATTTAACAAATAAAATGCTCCTTTTTAAATTAAAATAATTATTTTAATCACATTGGAACCTATCCTGACTGGAACTCCACCTAATGTAACTCCTGTTACAGGGTAAAAAAAACGACGTACTGGTAATAGTAAAACAGCATATCAATGGTATTCCTTCTCGTTTATTGAGTCTCAGAAACAAAAGAGTTTAATAATAACATGACATTTCATCTTATTTACATAAGTTTTTTTACAGATGACAACAGCATCAACAATTTCATTTATCATTTTTTTTTTCACTTTTATTTCGATGAAACTGAGATCACTCTTACTATTACAGAGTACATGAAAAATGATAGGATAAAGTTGGCACTGCATGGAAAAAGCTTATGCCAAGCGAAATAAAAGTCACACGGTGTGATCTCTCATGCAGGGCAGTATGAAAAGACGTCGGTATGTTTAATATAACTACAACAGTCGAACAAATCGCTAGTAAACATGAATAAATTGGGTGGTATTCAATTTTGATACCAAAACTAAACTAAATACTCGCAAACCAGCTAGCCTGAATGTCAGCTATTTTAAGATATGTCATATGATTTTTCTTCCTGTAATACACTGAAATAAAGAAGGATCTTTCTTCTGTGATAATTGTAAAAATAGTGGAAGTTTTCTTAATCCAATTACTGACTACATCCCTTATCCATAACCACGCCATAAAAAACCCAATAGTTTTTTTGTTAATCTCAGTTTTAGTAGATAAGTTTTGGGCAATAACACAACTTTACGTTATCGTCTTACTTTATGTTTTATGTTGATATACCTCATGACTCAATTGTTAAAATGTTTGTGGAAATGTCCATAAATTTATAGAGTATGAGCACATATTTTGTCGCCTCGCTTTTCTTTATCAGTTTTGTTAATACTCAAGTAACTCCTTTGTGTTCACTCAATAACAAATGATATTGCTTGATTTTACATGAAAGGTTATAAAGGCTTGTTTTTCATGGCTACAGTCAGGAATTTCCTCAAAAAATATAAACTATTTTCTTGGTTCCTAGAATGGTTTATTTATTTATATTCGTTAACTGGATATTTTTATATCTTTTCCATCACTAATAGTGTTCATACAATTCCACTTGTGCGTGTCTGGTAGACTGAAGAATTAGTCCAGGGCGTATCTTCGCATCTGGTCGGAAACATATTCTGATTCGAATTTTTTTTAACAAATTCCAAAATTTTTTTTCACTCTAGTCAAAAGGCGCCTTGCAAATTTTCTCTAAAGTTGATGGCATATGCTTTGATATCTTGTTAATGGACGCTCGAGAAATATTTAGGAACTTTTCATAGTTTTTCGGGGTCGAAAATGTGGAAAGTTACAAATACTTGCTCGCTATGGTATTTCGAGAACTATAATTTAATTTTTATTCAGAATGTCCCAAAAAACCTAAAAACACTTTGACAGGAGCGAAAAATTACGATTTTTGAAATTCGTTTAAAAAATTGTTTTAAACAATTTTTGTCATGGCAACGTGCAGATTCGAAGATACCACCTCAACTAAATGCTCTTCATGTGCCCCTTCTTCTGTTACGTATAGTATAGGGTATCAATTTATTCAGCACACCATTCCTTCCATTCTGAAACATCACATTTCATCACCTACCCAATGGATAGAAAAACAGAAACAATATCAATGAATTCGCATTTACTAGTCTAAGCATACCTTGTCTACAATATAATGTAATTACTGCCCTATCGACGCTCTTATGTACGATGGAATCTTCAAGAAAATGAGGAATGTAAATAGATGACGATAACACATCATAAAAACAGTTTACACATATCTTTCCTGTCTCAAATAAAAAAATACAATATAGAACACAACGTTAAAAATTCAGTTCCGGTAGTTTACAATATTGTTATATAGCCTCTTTTCATATAGTTCAAATGAGTCCTCGTTGGAAAGAAGTCAGTTATACAGATTAATGAGAATTTTATCGCAGAGCTTGAATTGAAAAGACTTGATGTTATCAAGAAGTCTAAAACAAAGGGTTTTTCAATAGCTCCGAAATTTGGCAACAACTTGCTCTGAGGTTTCAGGTGGCACGGACATCATTCCTCGATGACTGTGTTCTGTCATAGTCACCATTTTACCATGAAACGCTACACTGTGCAAGAACGCGTTGCAATTGATAAAATCTATCATAAAAACTTGTGTGCTTCAATTCAACTAATCATCGCCAAATTCGAGCAAGACGGTTCGGTTGCTGATCGAGCAGTGTAGCTGAAGTCCCAAACCTTTCGATTCCGCGTCGTGCACAAGCAACTGTCCTGTCTGCTACCAGCAAGCGCATCGTACTTTCGCTGATTGGGGCTCTGGAACAGTTGGGAGCGGATACAGATTTTCCCAAAAAAATCATTTCCAGTGATGAAGCACATTTTTGGTCAAACGGCTTCGTGAATAAACAAAATAGTCGCATTTGGGGAGACAGTAATCCACAACAGTATCAAGAGTCTCCATTGCATCCGGAAAAACTTACTGTTTGGTGTGGGTTTTGGTCAGGCGGCGTCATTGGACCGTACATCTTCCGAAACGAGAATGGCGAGACGCTGACTGTCAACGGCGCCCGGTATCGGGTCATGATAGCTGACTTTTTACGGTCTCAATTGGATGCTATGGACCTCAACGACATGTGGTTCCAACAAGACGGCGCAACGTGTCACATGTCGGCCATTGCATTGCAGTTATTGCAAGAAATGTTTCCGGAACACGTTATTTCCAGAAGAGGCGATATGGAATGGCCGCCCTTAGACTTTTTTCTCTGGGGTTACGTTAAGTCACTGGTTTTTCGTAACAAACCAACAACAATTCACCAACTGGGGAACAACATCCATCCTGACTTATGCAGCACAGTTTTACAAAGGAGGCCATTTGAATGATGTAATTTTTACAACGTCATGGTATTGAATGTGTTTATTCAGTTTTAAATTTCGACACCCTTAATGAAAAACCCTGTACTTCTTGCAAACTAGCATCATAATTCATCAATTAATTACCAATCGATCGGCTACATGAAAAATTCCCATAAATATGCTTGTAATTTTTGACAAGAGTAGCAATGAAACGGAGATGAATGTTTTGCGATGAAATCTCATTTTTCTTGGACACTAACACTGCCACCTTTCCGAACAAGATCACATATGTTCTTTTTCCTCGTGAGTAAAATGACTACCACTACCCGTACGTATTATATAATTCTAAACACCAAAATCTGAACGGAAAATGATATTCTCCACACCAAAACGAAAAAATAAATAAGTTTTCCACTAAAACTGAAAAGTAGCTTCTCAATAAACCCTACTAGAATCTGAAAGACAACAGACTTCATTTGTATCACAAGCACAATATTTTTCCTACTACTAAGGAGGGTAATGGTACCATTTTTCGAAGATATAATTCCATTGATTCAATATATACAAGTTTGGAAGAAGGAGGTGTATATGCGGGTTTACTTTATCTAGCAGAGGTTTTTTTCTACACTGCTTTCAGACCCAGCAGGGCCGTTTGTTGTGAATCAGTGCGTACAATTATATTTTTACAAAATTGTGTGCTGATTTACAGGCAATATTTCGACATGTTTGTTTTAAGATAAATTGTAGCCGCACATTTGAAAACAACTTTGATTCAGACAGTCATTTAAATTTCATAAAAATTTGTCCTAAAATTTGTAATCAACTAGGTTAGATAGTGTAGAAAAAAGTGAATTGCTATTTTCAAATCCCGGTATAATCATTTATGTAAAATGAAATAGAAAACACCACATATCCTCCTTGTTCTCGGCAGATCATATTAATTTTGATAGACTTGTATGATGAATTTTATTTTTCGTTCATATAGTTTGAGGCAGCTCACATCAACGTCCATATCAACCCAATCACAACTTGCGAATCATCAATGGTTCTAAGTTTTATTTACAATATGAGGGACGTCGAACAAACCGCCAGTAAATTAACGAGTCTAATACGATAAATAGCTTGAGACATGTAATTCTTATGTTTCTGCTACGATTATAGGTTTCAAATGTCGTTGAATCCGCATCCCATCTGAAAATAGAAAAAAGAGAAATGCAATTTCATACGTATATGCAGAACTCGTTCTTGCTCTACTACCGGTTAATTAAATATTTCTAAAGTAAAAACTAGTATACATGGAGTAAGCATAATGACAGAAGACAGTCACAGCTAGATGGTACACGGCACAGTGCCTGCCTAAAGTCATAGAGTCTATGAAAAACCTCCGGCCAAAGTCATGAATGGACACATGGTACCTCCACCATGACAACGCTCCAGCTCACCACGCCAAAGCCTGCACCGAGTATATCTTATTGAGCACCCTCCTTATCGCCCAGATCTTGGTCCCTGCGACTTTGCATGTGAAAATGAAGCTAAAAGGAAAACCGTTTTCTAGCGATGTGGACCTTCCGATGGCTAGGGACAACGAGTATGTCGCGCTCCCGGGTGAAACTTGACAGAGCTGGTTTAAGAACTGGCTTTGGCGGATGGAGAAGTATGGAATATGGTGGAAATTACTTTGAACGAAGTCAATAAATAAAGCTGTATTGCAAAACTTGTACTTTGTTTGTTTCAGATTTATTTAGCATTAATGGTACAATATCCATAATATCCACATTACACAGTATATCAGAAAATATACTAAGTGACATATAAATCCGAACACCCAGTTTAAATGGTTTCATTTTAATAAAATTTTGTATAAGTACTTAATGAAGCATAATAAGTAAATGATAAAAATTTCAAAATGATTGCACTGCTTTAAAGCCCTTTGACCTTTAATAATGTGTGGATGCACCCTGATGTGCTACGCATTCTGCAACGCGCATAGGCATGCTTCTGATCAGGTGGTCAATGTCCTCCTGTGGTATCTCATTCCAGGCAACCACCAACTCCTCTCGAAGTGCTTCTAGAGTCTGAGGAGGACGTTGCAAATTGAGCAATCTCCTACCCATCATATCCCACACGTACTCAATTGGGGATAAGTCGGGAGATCTTGGTGGCCATGGTAACAATGTGACATCATTATGTTGAAAGAAGTCTATTGTGACTCTTGCAACATGTGGTCGGGCATTATCTTGTTGGAAAGTTGGATCTGTCAGGGTGTCAAGATAGGGTAAAAGATGGGGTTCTAGAACTTCGTGGATATAACGCTGCGCGTTCATGTTACCTCTGTTGAAGATTAAAGGTGACCTGGAACCATAAGCTATAGCACCCCAAACCATAACTCCAACAGTGTGATGAACATGTCTTTCAACAAAAAACTGTGGATTCCTCCTTTCACCACGTCGCCTTCTAACCCTGGCACGACCATCGTGCATGCCTAAACAAAATCGAGACTCGTCACTAAAGACAATACTGTTCCATTCCTGATCCCAGAGTGACCGTTGTCTGCACCACTCAAGGCGATTACGTCGGTGTTCTCGAGTTAACGGGAGGACCCAGTGTGGCCGGTATGAAAACAAGCCAAAACTTCTCATTCGTCGGTAAACACTTCGCATGCCAATAGGTCTTCCGTGTTCTGCAAACCATTCATTTGCAATGGACCTGGTAGTGGAGAAACGGTCCCTTAAGGATAATAATCTTAGGCGGCGATCTTCACGGTCTGTTGTTCTACGGCGGCGTCTGTAACGGTTTCACCGTCCGATCGTATTTATTAAATCACTTCTCGATTATCATTTCATTAATCCCATCTCTAGCTTTTTTGCTTGGAAAATTTTCCGCTTGGAGCGCTTGATGCGGAGTTCCTGATCTGCGATCTTCCTCGCGCTTCCTTTTCACCTGAGCCGCCGATCGAACAACGGCTAGAAATTTCTTCTCAGTAGCACAAGGTTATATAGCACCATGTGCTAGATTTCTAGAATGTGTGTCCGTATAGGACAAAAATGATTGGGGCCACCCCCTTTCTCTTTCCCTTTCACTTTGCCTAGCCTTGGCCAATATTTTCACCCATGCATGTACCTTGGCAGCGCCATCGCCTTTAACTTCGCCTACAACTGGTTGTGAAGCCACTATATGGAGGTCACCCCTCATAACTGGGACCTCCCCTTCACGCCCCTGGCCATCCTGGCTTCAGTCGAGTCAAAATGGACCAGCAAAAGATAAGTCGATAGCGTTAAAAACTTATTTTGTTATTTTTGTAAAATTGTTATGTAATGAAAATGCCTTTTTTTTGTTAAATAAAATCTGTTAAATTTTTGTGTTCTGTTTGTTCTTCTATCCTCTAGCCATGCCATGGTCGACATATAGCTACACGCCTGTAGATGTCTTCATGCCACCGACTGAGCTACCGGAAGCTAATGGTAACCCCCTTTCTGTGATTGTGCAGAAAAGTTGGAATCTTCATTGCATTCCATCTTTTCTGGACTTTTTTCGGAAAGGAAGAGTTACATAAATTGGCACCCGCAACGTGAGGCTTCGATAGGTGTTTGGCTTTGTCGACAAGTGGTTTGCTAGTGGAAGATTGGCAAACAGAACATAGTTTTCAAAATTCTTTACAATCTTTGGCAGCATTTCTATTTTTAATTGCTTTTGGTACTCAAATTTCTAATTCCTTAATCATCCTTACTTTTTGCTTAATGTTTAAAATTTTTATCAAAAGATTAAAATTTTTCCACCTGTTTATTTCATAGGCATACTATTAACTTTTAAATTGTCTTGTTTAGTAGTCAGCGAGATCATTGCCAGAATTTTTTTTTTGTCTCACATACTACTACAGTTTTTATTTACTGCTGGGGACAGTTATAACTTTTTTCTCATTGTACTTTTGAGATTGATGATATTTTGATATTTTTTTTTGTTGTTGAATATTGATAGTCTAGGGACTTTAGGTTTCCCAGCATTTTTGTCGAATATCATCAAACTTTTGATTGAGGTTGTGACTATTGTTGTTGATAGTTTACATATTCTTATATGCTTTTCATTTTTGATCACTAACCTCTTAGTTTTTGAAAGTATTTCTTCATGTGCAGTTTTTTGATTTCTTGAGACTTTTCATGTATGCATATATAGCCTAATTGTTGGATCTCTGGTGTACTGATATAGCTCTCATGATGTTTGGTACGTAGGAAATTTACTTTCAAAATTATTTTTGCCTTCCCCAAATGTATTTACTTTTTGAATTTTTGACTGTACTTGAACTTTTGATCATTTGTTTTCAATCTGATGGCAATAATCTACTGACTAGAGTTATCTGGAGTAAATCATTTTGAGATTTATCCATTTTTCTGAATTGTATGAAATTGATATTCATAATTTTTCGTATATTTTGGCGGTTTACTTTTTTTCAAGTATTGACACTTGGACATAGTACTTTGATACTTACCTTTCTTTTTTTTTTCAAGAAACAAATGATGTTTTTCTTGACTATATTTTTGCTACTTTTCAATGAGGGGGTGACTCCTAAATCATTTTTACCTATACAAAGACACACATACTCATTTATGATAATTAAACTTCAACTTGTTGTTGAAATAGTATACGTTCCTCAGTAACTATTGTAGTAATTTTGTCTCTTGTTTGGAGCAAAAGTTTTCATAATTTTAATGTTTTATAGTTTTATCTGGCATATTCTTTGGGGGAAATTAGAACATTAGTGTCTGATTTTCCATTGGATTAACAGGACTTGAACGTCTCTGTACTCTTTTAATGTATGTCAGATATAAAATAATTTTTTTAAGATTCGGCTGCTCCTGTTTTTGTATTGAAACTTTTTGTTTGTATTGTTAGTTTTTTATAGTGTTTTAGATCCTTGTCATTTCTTGACGTATTCAGGTTTTTAACTTTAATTTTTTTCTTTCAAGTGTTTCTTTGAGGTTTATTTCTCAATCATGGTTCAGTCTAGACTAAGCCCAAATGACTTATTAAGTCATGAACTCCACTACGAGATTCATATCAGAGGTTTGGAAGTCCCTAATACCGTGGAGGATAAACGTAAAGTTTTACGTGGCTTATTAGCACAGGAATTTCAAGGGCGTAGTTTCTCAGAAACTTCTGTGACTATTCCTTTGGATGAGGATGAGACTGAGATAAGACTCTCATTCAATAAACTCACTGAGATGATCTCTAGATTTACTGGTGCATTTGATTCTGTTGAACATCGCAGAATTTGTGTGCGCTTATTGCATCTATCTGGTAGGATAGATCGAATGTCTCCTACTTGTGATGAGGAGATAAGTACAAAATCTAGATTAAAGACACAACTTGTTGTGTGTGAATCGGATCTTTTAGAGAAGCTTGAGATGCCATCTGCTCAATCATCTCCTCCATCAGTTTCATCTCGTCCTATTCCATTAGCATCAAATCCGCCTGTGACTGTTGCTAATCCTCAAGTATTTCCTCCAGTACATACACAGCCACTCTCTCATATAAATTTTGCTCCACATAAAAAGATACCAGTTTTCAAATGGGGAATCAAAAAATTTTCTGGAAATAGCTCAGTTATTGAATTTCTAGAAATTGTCGAATCTCTAATGTCTTCCCGTGGTTGCAATGAGATGGATCTCTTTGCATCTGCAGGTGATCTCTTTGAAGATGTAGCCTGGACATGGTGGCATAATGGCCATCTAAGAAATAGCTTTCATGATTGGCAGGACTTGATCAAACAACTCAAGGATGCTTTCCTACGTGACAATTATGATATGAACCTAATTGATGAGATTCGTAGACGCAAACAAGGTCAGCATGAACATGTTACGATATTCATTTCGTTCATGGAATCTCAATTCAATAGATTAACCTACAATGCATTTACAGAAAGGGACATGGTCAATATTGTCCGTAGAAATTTATTGCCTGACTTCATAAAGTCACTTGCTCTTCATGAAATTTCCACTTTTCCTGAACTAACATCACTTTGTAGGAAATTAGAGGATTCCTTCTTGACTTGTCAACCCCACAATAGACTTTCCACTTCCAGCTTGGTTACTTCTGATAGTACTCCATCATCTCACAGAAAAGCTCCTGTATGTTGGAACTGCGAGAAACTAGGACATTCTGTTCGAGACTGTAGAGCTCCTAAGGCTGTTTATTGC